GTGTACTCAAGTGGCAAGCACATGCAAGTGGGTTTTGGCGGCGTGTCCAGTGAAGGATGCGTATATGTACCTACGCCAGTGTTAGAAGTGAATATACTCCAAGCCTCCCGTTTGAGACTATGACTTGCGTAGGACATAGATATACATACATACGCCTTGTTCGTTGGTAGATGGGAATCCACCTGTTGCGTAAGTCGTAACGTTAAGTGCTTAAGACTTACGGGTCAGCATTGAATATTAATACAAACCTTGGATACTATGGTTAATAAAATATTATTGTGCCGTAAGTCTTAAGTACTTCGAAGTGCAGTTACTACCTATAATAGTAGTATTTTTCATCAATTGTGCTTGCTACAACCCACTAGTATGTAGTGTACTATTAATAGGATTTGTATAGTATACTACTTCTGTAAAACGATTCATAGTAACGGTGGTAGTAGATACTAGTACCAGTATGTAGTACCGGTAGTAGTCGTTGCAAACCCCCACAGGCATACATAGTAGCTCAGTCGTAGATGGGGTCTGTGAGCAACGGGTCCGAGTAGTCGTCACGTTCGTCCTCTGCCTTGGTCTTCCGCGCGACCCTTCGCATTTCAAACGTGGCAAAGCCCACGATGGCCACAAACGCGACGACACACACAGCCGCCCCCACGGCGCCCGACGTCGACACGGGACGGAACGGTGTCGCATCTTGCTTGGTGTGCAGTCTCGCTTCATGGTAGTGGTTAGTTCCTTCTGGAGTCAGCAGCGACTCTTTTGCTGCTTGCTTGAGTTCGGGATACAACGCCCACACATAGTGGATATCTGTGAGCGACAGCTGGTCGCGCTGGCCCATACCCGTCATCACCGCCTGCCGCTCGAACGGATCTTCAATCAGCGGAAACAAAGTCATGCACCCTCCGCCCGCCATCGACATGTTTACAAACACATCTGCTCTCGGGTGCATGAGGCTAAAATAGTCGTACGGGACGTTCACTACATTGTCCACTACGTCGTAAACACGCTCCTCCACACTGAGGTAACTTCGCTTGGCACTTTCCACGCACTCCCATGCAATCTGCACATGCGCATCTCGATCGGGGCGGACTGTCGGGTGATGCAGCCCCACGGCATGCAGAAGCACATGGATGAGGTTTCCACGAGCGCATCCGTCTGAGACACCGAGCGCTTGGCGGCCCCCCACGCGCCCAATCGACGACCAGCAACCGGACGATGTCTGGATCACGTCCACAACGTCGTCGCAGTCGGTCAAGTGATCGTCGCAATAGTCTTCTTGGCATTCGAGAAAGTGAAATCCAGTGGTGGCGCTGATGTGTGACATGGCGCTCCAAATGTCGTCGCGGCGGTGTCGCACGGCTTGGTTGATCGTAAAGCACATGGTCGCCTACACACAAATATATATTTTGGATATGGACACTATATATATATATAGATACCTCTTTCCAGCGCGACTCTTGTTCCTTGTTGTAGTACCCATGTAGCATGTAAAACAACAGATCGTCGTCGCCTTCTCCAAGGTACCCAAATGACGTGCCCACAGCAATGTCACCTTGAGTAACCATGATGTCTTCTTCCACGAGCACAAACGCCAACTCGTTGCCGTTAACGACAATATGGCCCGTTGCTGAGGTCGTTCCGACGTCCTCTGCCGGGTATCGACACACGTTGTCTGCTGGGCTCCGTGTCATGCCGTCCGCCACACACTTTGGAATCATCGAATCATCCCCATCCGTTCGATTGCACGTGATTCCAAGCTTGTGGTCTGGAGCGACCACGCTGTCGTACCCGGCTTTGCACGAACAATCTTCCACTCCAAGCACCGGCCAGTGGTTCATCACAGCGTTAAGCGGGCACCCGTCGACCCCCCCTTCATCATCTCCTGCGTGTTTGCATGTCAGTGTCCAGTCGGACTTCTCAAACGGCACCTCGTCCTCCTTCCCCAACGTCCGCCTATAGGCGCCACCCTCTTCTTCGATGTTGTACTCCTCGCCGTGGGGACAAAAGCAGTCCCAGTTTGGATCGTGCACTGGCCACGTCTCCGCGAGCGCACCCGCGGGGCATCCATTGGCCCCGATTCTGGTCTTGGCTACACAAGTACCGGTTGCATCGTGCCGGTGGAATCCCTTGGCGCAGTGGCAGTCCATAAAGTCCAGGGGGGGGAGCGCAGGGTACGGATTGAAAGAGTGCGGCGGGCAGACAAAGTAGTCGGGCGTCCAGTCGCAAGTTTGCATGTTCAAGTTGGGCTCAAATCCGGGAAGGCACCGGCATTGGGTCATCGAGTACGGATGCGGGGCGAGGGGGACTGAAAAGTCGGGGCAGGTAAATATAATGTCGGTGGCACGAGGGGATGCTACGTCATTGCCACGCAACGAGGGCGAATGGCCGTCGACGTCTTCGACGCATCGCTCGAGCTTGTCCAGCCGGTGGAACCCGTTGGCGCATTCGCAGTCCATAAAGTTCTGGACGGTGGCCGACACTGGACGTGCGTGGGGAGGACAGGCAAATGTCGGGTTTTCTGCGACACAGTACGGATCGTTGTTGGAGGACGAGTTGTCTGGCTTGACTTGGGGCCGGACAAATCCCCAGTCGCATGTGCAGTCGCCTACGGACTTGGCCACGCCTTGAACTGGGGGTGACGCGTGCGGCGGGCATTCAAAGCGGACGTAGCATTCCCCACTCTGAGCGTTCTTGGTGTATGGCGCTAAACAGTCGCAGTCGACAAGAGAGTGCACGTGGACGACGCCGGCCTTGATCACGTAGTTGGCGGCGCGCGGGCAATGCGTCAGGCGGCATTCGCCGGTGGACTCGTCCTTCGTGTACGGGTCGAGGCAGTCGCAGTCCGCCAGGGAGCGAGCTGTCGTCACACCGGCCTTGAGGCCGTACTTGCCGCTGCATGTGATCTCCGTTACGCATTGCCCTGCCTTGTCGTCGCGATGCGGCGCTGTCTCCGAACACAGACAATCGTCAAAGGACCGCGGATGCAGGGCCTTGGCAGACGAGTCCTTGGGACAACGGTACGAAGAGGAATCATCACCAAAGCCTTGACTCAGCAATGCCCTGGAAGGAATCGTCGCTTTGGTTGAGCACGAGCAGTCGTCGACGTCGTCCATGTCTCGTGGAAGGAACATGGCTTCGCATTGACCAGGGCACACTACAGAAGAACGCGGTGAGAGAGGGATGACAACTTCATGTGCGTCGTATACACAGACCGAAGAAGCCAGCGGCATGTACATGAGCCAAGAGCCCCGCGCCCAGCAGCATCGCGATGAACGTCGGCTGCACCATGGATGACAAATAATGGCACGTCCAACCCAAAAGTGGAAAGATCGAAAAAAGATCTTTCGCCTTTCGACCAATCACAGCCTTAGGCGAATCGTATCCGGATTGGACGACTTTGTATCCGGTTAACATGCCTTTTCAACCAACATCGAAACACACTGTCACAATCCATGGCTGCAAGAACAAACTTAAACCTGCCACCTTGGAAGCATATTTCTCATTTTTGCTCACTCCCCGGCGATTACATTAGGTGTACTGGTGCTTTCTATGCTACTACACGAGCAGCATAGCTTGGTTTGGTACTGCTAACTAGTTAGGCTGTTCGCAGAACGATCGAGTGAGATGGCATAGCACGATAAAGACATTGGGCTGCACCGTGGACGGCCACCACGATGGATGGACGATCGCATGGGTACTGCGCTTCTGGAAGAGCGGGGTCCCCGTTAGCTGCTTTGCGCTTGGGCTGCCGTGCCTAGCTTCGTCACGTTCGATGCAAACTATGAGCTGTTACTACATGGTAAGTATTAATACTAATACAGTACTAAGTTAGTAGTAGTACGACGTGTATTACTGCGTTGTGACAGGGCTGTACTAGATGGTGGAGGACAATGTTGTGCCGATCGACGGAGTCGCTTGATGACTTATTCATGAACCTTGGTCATCCAATAAAACGATGTGTAAAGGGTAATTCTAGCCGATCAGTGATACTGAATCAGGTTTTTAGTAGATACTAGCACCTACTAACACGTTTTGGGTGTTGATTTCCATCAAAAGATTTTTGCGCTCAAATTTAGAAGGTGACGGTGACCCTGGCCAAGCATCACGTCACAATACAAACCATTTCAAGTGCAGCCGGAAGAAATATTCTTCAAAATAATCGTTTAAATTGCTACAGTAACGCGTTAATAAAGAAGTTACAGTGTTCTGTCTTCTGATGCAATACAGTACCCCCCTATTAATAGTAATGGCCCTACAATACTAGTAGTACTACTTTCATTTAATTTAGCATCGACCAATGCAATGGCGTAGTTTCCATCGTTTTTAGCCAATCCCCACAATTCGTTCCTGCCAGGGATCTGAAACTCAGCATGGACGAACGAAGTGAAGGCGTTCGCGATGTTCCCGACGTCCATGCATGGCTGTTGGTGGAGAACTTTACGATCAGCCGCAAGCTATTGACCCATTGTCTCAATACGAGCGACGTCATCTTTCCTGCCAGCCATGCCCATGTCAAGTTCTACGCGAACGCTGACCCTGTGCTTGTTGCGCTGAAGAACGTGTACAGCACCAACACCGACGACGACACCTCCTTGGGCGATCCAGTGTCCTCTTACGTAAGCTGGATGGGTTAACACATGTGTATGATGACGTGCGAGTAGAGCCGCCTTCAAGACGTAGGACGCGCGGTGGTCGATCTCCTCACCGAAGCATGGACGTTGGAGCCCACGAACGTACTCAAGTGGCTTCTTGGCGAACTGGTCGAGGTCTACTCTGACGTATGCAGTATATATATATATATATATGTCTATAAATGTGATTTCGACAATATATTATCCTTATATCACGTTAGGTCTTGATGGGAAAAGTTACGTTTGACGCTTTGAACGACATCCACGACTGCACCCGCCAGTTTGATATGCTAATGGCGTCCAATCCATTAAAGCACGACATTCGCAAGCTCAAGTAAAAAAATGGTTTTATGACCATACTTACCCTCTTTAACTTATAACTTTAAAAGGAAATGCAAGACCAAATTGAACTCGTTCGTGGAAAACGTGGTACAAGATCATGCCAACGCCTTGCCGGCTCGCTGGACCGTTGATGTTAAAACACCACTTGACACTGCCCAACTCAACGCCGACATACAAGCGTATTACGACGGCCATCATATTTCCACCACGGTACTAATATTATATATATATATATTTATTTAGGGATATGTGTGAAACGATAAAGTAATAGGAGGAACAGCGCCGGATGGGGATTGTGCAAGCGTTGAAGCGCAGCATTCGACGAAGTTCCGAGTGGCGCGCGGCAGATTTGCAGCTCTACGGCAGCTCGCTGTCGACCATGGGTAATAATATTAAACTATATCCTTTGAAATATACATATATATATATATTATTAACACTGACGTGTCATGTAGGAACACAAGGATGTGATATGGATTTGTGTTTGACGTGGAATGCTGCCGACCATCCATTTGTCTCTCTTAGCTCATTGCTGGGCAAAGCTCGCCTTGCGCAGTACGTCGCCAGTCCATATATATATATATATATATATATATATATATATTTCCGAAGTTCCTTTGAGAGTGATGGATCTATATATATATATATATTCCGAAGTTCCTTTGAGAGTGATGGATCTATAGCGATAATGCGTTGCAAAAGCGTTCGAATCATGTGATGGGGCTGGCCCTGTATGACGACATTCGAACTACCCACACAAAGCAAGTGGCTACGCTGGACAAGTTATTGACAAGCCAGAGTAAAGCCTCTGGAGACAAACCTTCCAAGTTAAAGTAAGTATAGTTCCAAGAATATATATATATAATGACAGAGATTCGTATAGGGCGAAAGCATTAGCCATTGTGCACGCCCAGTACTTTGTGGATGCATGCGAACGCTTTGTGCTGGCACTGGATGCTTTGAAAGACACCCCCGCACCCCCAGACTCGAACGCTACCGAGTTGGCGGCAGCTGCACAGGAGCTCAAGCATCTCATGAGTCAGGACGGACAGCGCAAGAAGAAGCTGCATCGATTGACCTATGTCCTGCAGGTATATATATATATTTGGATGGATTATTTGTATACTGGTGTATTTATATTTATAGTTGTTTGATATAATTGATATAATTATTCTTCCAACGAACGATAGTATAGTTTGAAATTGTATCGAATGTATGTGATATAGTTAATACATAAATTATTCTGTGCTCAACTTTAAACATTTTGTCTGGCGGGTGGTTGAATGCGCCGCCCAACACTCGCCGGACCTGCGAAATATGATATATATCGAAGTGTAAGAGGTATCTTTGTGATTCTTTTTCGTTTTAGCCAATCATATTAATTCTTTCATTCTTTTTATCCAATCATACGGCTTGCTCGATTTCAATATCGAGCGAAACGCACAATAATTTATGAGTTAGAAAGCAGGATGCAAAGTCAACAACGTGATCGCGCACGCCCGGGTTCCAATCATCAAGTACGACATAATTATTCATAAAAACATGAAAAATAGCCCAAAAAGCACGAAAATTCATGCAAAACTTAGATTTTTACACGTCGACAGCAACTTGGAATGTGACATTTGCATGGAGAATACCCTCGCCACGAAAAATACCCTCCTGCTTCGAACGTATGCGCTGTTTGATAGCCGAGTGAGCCCGTTGGTGTTGGCGGTACGTGTGGGTAGTAGTACTACTACTAGTAATACTATCGATTGTATTCGATAGGTGAAACGATGGGCGAAAATGCGAGGCGTGAACGACGCGTCGCAAAATACGTTGAGTTCGTATTCGTATGCGATTTTGGTGATTCACTTTTTGCAAATCCTTCGCATTTTGCCAAATTTGCAACACCCGAGCTTGCTCTTAAATAGCCCCCGCCAAGTACGTAGTACTAGTAGTACACTCTCTGTCACACTTTCGTTAACAATTCGGTCGTTCTAACGAATCTAACAAGCAAGGCAAGGCGATAGTAGCTTGGATTTATTGGTCTGGATGTGGATGGCTTTGTGTTGTTGGTATATATATATATATTGTCCATTCAACCAAACAACTTTGGATATTCGATTGTTTGTGTCGTCCTGCATGTTGTATGTAAACATGGACCTGTGTCACACTAATATAAGTCACACATTAATTCGAGTGCGTGATTTATATTAGTGTTTCGTTCAAGTGAGCATTTGATTCGGCAATTAATTGGTTAAAGCGAGAGTTTTCATTGGCCACTGATGTGGAATATTTGACAATGCGAGAATTGGATTGGTCACTTGATTCGTATGGTGGGTTTTGATTGGTCGGTCGATCTTGTCGGTCGGTCCATTCTTTCATTCAATTGAACTGTATATTGAGGATTCGGTACAAATGTCCAGACCCTGGACTCGAATCATGAAGATCGACGCTAACATTGGCTAATCTAATATTCAGTGGATTTGATTGGCTCTTACAAAAAGGGCAAGCACATTCAATAACCAATCAGAACTCCTGTGTGAAATATCCAATATTGATTAGACAAACCATGCGAATATTCAAAGTAAAAAAATAGCGAATTCACAAGAGTTATGTCGAGTTGACTATGCGATAGACCCTGAACGGCCACGACGTGACGTTCTGCACCGATTTCATCGCTTGTCGGGCTTTTTTTCCAGTGGCAAACGTGGACTTGAGCGTCGGCGACCTCATCGTCCGCTTCTTCGACTACGTGGCGACGTTCCCGTGGCTGACCAAAGTTGTGTCCATCCGGATAAATGACATGACAAAAAGCGAGCGATGGGGTGGCGCGGCCAAAACGTGGCGCATGAGCATCGAAGACCCCTTCGAGTCGACGCGGGACTTGGGCATTGTATTGCAACCGCTCGGTCAAGATGTACGTTGATAAGTATATGTATATGTTGATGTCCGCTGATCTATCTATATATATGTATATGTGATTGATGATATATGTATGAATATGTGAATATGTTGATGTACGCGATGTATATTTATATAACAATTATATGTGGTATGTTATATCCAACGTGTTAGATATGTAAACTATTTGATATATAGTGTATATATCGATTGGATTGCATGTGCATGGTGTACGATATATCGTATCGAAACTCATGGTATGTATTTTAGTCGATAGGGACTATGTGAGTTGTAAACAGGTCACATTATGGAAGTCACACTAATTTAATGTGGAATGGTGAACGAGAGAGTTTGATTGGCCACTTTATGAATGTTCTGGAGGTTTTGATTGGTCAATATTGACTGTCGATTTGGTCGTTCGAATGCACTCCAATTTCGAATTGACCATATATATTTTATATATGTGTTTTGTACGACAATATATATATATATATATATATATATGCAATTGTATGGTGGCATCCATCTCACATGATTTGTATCTGCAGAAAGTATTGGCCGAGTTTCGACGGGCAAAGCAAGTGCTCGCGGCCACCCAGAGCTTTTCCGCCCTCATTATGGCCAAGGAGAATGAAAAGCGAGCGAATAAGTCACCTGACAAACCCCCTCGAGCAAGTCCCCGCTCGAAATCGGACAAGACTGCCCCCCACGTACCGACAGGCCAGATGAACCAGATCGGTAAAGACAACGACGAAACCCCCGCCATGAAATCACCAAGGAAGCATGCTGACGGGGGAGAACATCAAGTGACGGGGGACGAAGAACGTTCCGGGAAAAGCAACGCCAAACATCAGCCTTTTCAAAAGCCCAATCGAATGCCAAACAAGAAAAAGAAAAACAAACCCAACGGCGTGCCCATAATCCCTGGCTTGCCCACCACTTTGCCGCTGCCTCCCGCTGCTCCCGTCCAACTCGCAGTGGACCCCCCACGACCCCCACCTCCGCAACAACAGAAAAAGCAGCCAGCGGAAGGAGCTAAGAAGCGAAATATGGGGGAGCAGAACCGAGCGCACCCTGTTCAAGAGACTGACCAAGGCCCAAGTGACGACAGACAGACTAGAGGTAGGGATCGCAAAGCCAAAAAGTCGTCGTATCGCCTTAAGCAAACGACACCCCCGTCGACTTAGAAGGGAGCAAGCGTAGTTGTGTGTACCAAGGGGTTGCCTAAACTAGTATATAATAATACGCAACTTGAAACTGAATCCTTGTACTCCCGAGCACAACTGTACTACTATAGTGTGCTTTTCATCGGTTTGGCCCCTTGCTTGGTAGTGTCCTTTCAAAATTGTCGAATTTGGGTGAATAATTGCCAACAAAGAAATAGTCAATTCAAAGATAATGAGTTTTAGGTTTGTTACACTTGAAACACGTTCTTGAGGTGCGTTTCGATGGACGTTTGCATTTCTTTGAGCAACGACTGCAGCCACGAATCCAACGACGATCCCGTCGGACTCGTGCCTTCTTGGTCTTGTAAAAAGATAGACGAAAACACCGGCAGGATATCGCGCTGGACTATCGTTCGAATTGCATCCTAAAACTATATTAGTACGTCACATATTATATATATATATATATATATATATTAATATATAGACAATCAAAACAATCACTATGTCATACTAGTACACGATAAATATACCTTGGGAAGGACGGTTTTACAAGGCAAAATCTGACCAGACAAGTGCACGTTCACCGTGGGGGCTACGACGCACAGTCGGACGAGGGATTGCATTGCCTACCGTTAACCATTACCCACCGGAATGAGCTATCAATCTAGATATATATAATTGGGATACATACTACGTGGTAGTATTTAACTATCAATATATATATATACACCGATAAGAGCGGGATCAGCGTCTAGTGTTTATGTGTTACCTTTTCCAAGGCCTTGGTATGGGTCGCTTGCTGTTCCATGAGCTTGTCGTGCACCGCATCCTTGTCCGCGTTGGTCGCCTTGAGCTCCACTTGCAGCGCATGCACTTGACTTCTTTGTTTGATCACTTGAGTTTGGGCGACAGTCAGTTTGTCCATATGATCTTTCAGGTCTGCCACGGTTTGGCTATGGGATTGGCACAGCGTCGTGTACGTGGTTTCGAGTTTGGTGAGTTTGAGTTCGAGCCCGCTTTTCTCGCACTTTTGCGCTAGCACAGCCTGCTCCAGGGCCTCCAACTGCATGTGGTTCGTCTTGAGCTCGCTCGCCATCCGTTCAATCGTGTCGTCCGCCGCCCGCTGCTCGTGGTGCCACATGTCTCGCTCTTTCTGGAGAGTTGCCACTGTCGTTAACGCTGCGTCGTACTTGTTGGTCAGATCCACCACATCGCCACAGCTCTTTCGCCGCAGCAACTGCAGGTGCTGACTCTCCCGCTGCATGTCTTGCAGGTGCTGCTTGTGGCTGGCTTCGGCCCGCTCGAGGCGGTCGATCAGCGCATCTCTTTCTTGAGTCAATGCAAGCACTTGGTCCAGTAGTGATTTCTCCCGCGCGTGCCACGCATCCGCATCCCTCGCGGCCGTAAGATGACCTGTATCTAGTGTTTGTCTAAGGGACGTCATGTCTGCATGATGCTTGATGCTGACGGCGTTAGCTCGGTCGAGTTCTTGACGTAGTTGGCTTTCGCACATGCTTAACGACGCCTTCACTTGGTCCTGGTCGTGACGCAACGTGTCCATATCGCGTTGCATGTGTCGAACGTTGGCGCTCGAAGCGGTCGCGTCCAGTATCAACTGGTCAATCTGGGCTTGCTTTTCGAGGCTAATCTGCACTTGAATGTGGTACTTTTGTTTCAAAGTGTCATCGAGTAGCGGGGGTGGTGGGGACTCTGCCGAGGAGGCGGCAGTACCGGTGTTGCTTTGTTGGTCCAGATCTCGTCTTAGCTTCTCCACGAGGTTTCCTTGTTCGACTGCTGATTCCTTGACTGTATGCAGTTCGGCTTGAAGTGATGCGATCGTGTCGTTGGCCCGCGCGTTAGCTTCGGTCAAGTGATATCGAGCCGCTAAACTTTCTGAAATCTACCGATGGGTACCAGTCAGAAGTAACGATCCGACGAAGGAATTGATATACTACTATATTTATAATAATACTATATCATTTAGGGCCTTTCTGGTAACCTGAAATATTACAATACTCTAGCCCGAAACGCCATTCTGGGGCCGAATTCAAATGATAAGATTGAAAAATGTCTTGCTTGAAGAGTTTAAACCCAAATCCAAAAATTCCAAGTGGGATTTATTTACTTACTTGAGGAGGTCCAAAACGCCATATTACCAAATGGACGTTTTACCTCCATTTTGAAAATATCATTTTTGATATATCCCATTTTGCGAGAAAATGGAATATTATTTTTGAAATGTTACCAGACACACACCCTTATAACAGAGCCAAAAGAAATGATATGCGGGCGTACCTTGGCTTGCAAGGCATCAAGCGCGGGTTTGTGGGTTTTGAGGTCCAGTTTGGCTTTTTTCAAGGCGGCGCGTGCGTTAAAGCAGTTTGAACACGTTGACGTTTTGGGGCTGGCGGGCGCGACCGACTGCGCCATGGACCGGAACTGTCCGCCGCCCACAAACTTTGCATTCCCGCGAAGTCTAGCCATGAAATCATATAAAACAAAAGCTCATGGGAAGGCAAAAGTTGAATGCTTTGGACAACACAACATAGAACACACTATAAACACAATATAAAAAACACATTATAGTTTGTCGATGGAGCTTGTACCGCTGCATAAGAGACTCTTGTAAGCGCGAGATTTCCAACTTTAACAAAGCGTTGGCTTGGTTCATTCGCTGGAGCTCGACGTGCACGGCGCTAGTCGAGTCTCTGACCCAAAACAACGTGAGCACCACCACCATATATATCGCGAACGAAGTTAACGAAAAAACCTATTACCTGTCTGTCACGCCCCCACCACCTTGAAGGTGATTATGAACGGTGCTCTTAACTCCTTCATCGTCGTCATACATCACGTCTGCGAGTTGGTTTTCGTTGGCATTGTCGGACTGAGGGTGGTGGGGGTTCCTTGGCATGGCATTCTCGGCGTCATACTCCCTCGACGTTAACGACGGAGTAGTGTGCTCACTCCCATTTGGCTGGGAAGTCGAGCTCGATGTTGGACGAATCAATTGTTGGGCGTTTAGGAACTCAATTGCACACGACGGACTGCCAATTGGACTCGCGTTGGTGCGAGTGAAGGACGCACTGTGAGGCATGTTCAACTTGCGAACGGACGACGATGCTGTCGACTGCAACTGCCGGACGCTGCCAGCACTCTTCTTGCGGATCCAGTCCTGGGAAAGCGGAGGTAGCGCATTCTGAGTCGCCATAATGCCGCTGACACTTGAAATGTAGCCTAAATATAGACCAAACCTGACTTGGCAATCCGATTGTTTTATTTTATTTTATGCTTGTGCAACTAATACAACTGAGAGGCGGTACATTCATTGCTGACGCAACGTTATTGTTGTGATTGCCGAAAGGCGGTCGCTGGAAGGAGAAGAATTCAATTCCAAATGGCATGTACTGGAGCTTCTACTAAATTTCCAAACAATGCGCTGCAGGAAATACTCCTCTTCGACGTCGCACGACAGATTTTGAACGACCATTGACCCGGTCCTTGGTAAAAGAACGAAATGTCGACGCTATCTGCCCTGATCATCGACTTGACTGGCCGTTGTACATAGAACGTGACGGATCTAGCTTCGACGGCAGGCTGCGACCAGCCCAAGCGCAAAGAAGCCGAGGACAGAACTGCATTAACGTTAATAAAACGAATGGCTAACACCTTTGACAGTATGGCCACTTATTAGAGGGCTACAATAAGATACTGGAAACACTTAATGAATGAATGCTTACACTTCTAAGAGCAACTCCACCGGTCGGAGTTATAGCTCAGATTTATACGGATAACCCTTAGATAGGACCACACCGGACTTATTGCTCCCGACGGCAGGTTTTATAGGGGTCAGATTTATATTTGAAAGATCCAAACATAAATCTGACCCCCAACTGGTGGAGTTGCTCTAACACTGGTATACTTCGAAGAAGTATTTGAGAGAATGTGTCACACCATCCAAAAACATCACGTTCTCCCTTAGGTATTGGAGGACTTCCAAAACCTACACAAATGAATTTGTGCTGACCTCAATATAAAAAAGAATCAAATAAAAATATGTGTTTGACCTCTCACAATTTGTTGAGGCTGTTTTTTTGTCTCAACAAATCGGGGTGTTGTGTTGCAATCGTGATGTATCGTACTATACATATACTAGTAGTTGTGTCCAAATAATGCGAATGCAAAAGAAACCTACGCTGCTCCCCAACACACACGAGACCCCAAACCTTGCACTCATTGTACATTGCATGAAACACTACTGTACCGTCATGTCATTCCCCATTGAAGAGGTCGACGCAATTACACAAGCAATCAAATTTATTAACATTAATCCGCACTGGCTGTAACGTTAACCTAAATAAAACTAGTTGCCGCACCAGAAGGCTCCCAAGCTCGCGAACGTGGCACAGGTCGACTTGGAGAACGCATGGGAGGGAACAGTGGTTCAGCGTAGGGTAGAAGCACGTAGAGCAGCTATTGCACTTGGAGGTGAGGCAGTCGTAGGGGCGACTGTGGGGGCCACCATAGGTACTTTGGCAGTGGTGATGAGAGCCATGGTTGGGGTCGTAGTAATCGGGGCCGCAGTAGGGGCCATGGGGCCGGCAGAAGGCTTGGTGGTAATAGGGCCAGCGGTGGGGGGCGTGGTGATGAAGGGTTCAATGAAGTCATGGGCGATCGAGATGCGGCTGTACACGCCAGGCTTGTCCTGCTTGCCTCTCGTGCTCGTTGCTCCGCCGCGTCGACATTGCGCTTGGAGTTCAATAAAATGGTAATTTTGTGTATATTGTGCGATAGAACTTAATTTTAATATGGCACATATAGCTTTGGATTATTAATTTTGATATTTCTATCAATCCGGATAGCATAAATCTGATTGATAAATCGCACAAAGGTACCCCTTCACAGTTTTATATGAATTTCTAAGGTCCGGCGATTATAGTGAGGTCAGGGATCTATTCGAATACAAACCTGACCCCTATAAAACCTGCAATAAGTCCGGGGCAGTCCTATCTAAGGGTTATCCGTATAAATCTGATCTATAACTCCAACCGGTGGAGTTGCTCTTACAATCCATTCAAAAACACATGGCCTTAGTTAGGGCTACTAACTCCTCCTGCGATGCTGTACGCGACGACTTGTGGAGTACGCAGTCGCCGGGACATCAGCTTACTCTGTACCCCGCCCTTGCGTGGGGAGGTGTCGGCCAGTCGCGTCGCCACCATGGCCTTGACCATGGCCTTTAACGCTGCCTTTTCATCCACTTCGCTGTTGGAGTTGTCCGACGTGACAGAGCTTGTATCGCCTATCGTCCGTAGGAGTTACCACTTAGCTCTATATACCACCACGCATCCAATCCACTTACGACACGTGTCAATTTCTTCAGTAGCGATGGCTGTAGTCGCATCCTTGTAATTTGTCAGCCGGTCCAAAAGCACTTCAAATGCGTGGGTTTCGTCGGTCGGTAAAATGTTGGAATGTGCCATGCCATCCTGTTCGTTGTCGTCGCCTTCGTCGTCGTCGTCTTCCACGACCTCTTCTTCCAGTTGAACGTTGTCCTGCAGCATACCAATAGTGCCCCGTCGGCTACTCGACTTCGTCGTGATCATCGCGTAGTGCTGCGTCAAGCTCAAGTACTCGCTCTTGTCGTCTTGGTTCGTGTTGGCTTCCATGTCCTTTGTGACCTAATCAACAGAAAACAACGATAAGAGGTATGGAGGTGGCCTGTGATTGCATCAAATCGCAGATTTGAGAAGTAGGATTGGTCAGAAATGCGATATATATCGCGATTCAGGGATGGAATACAAACCATATTCGCCAACGCATGAAATTGCGTGATCAATTCATCGACGTGGTCGATCGAGGCGCTAGTGGCCAACGCTTGGCCGGACGACATGGCGCATAATGCAAACGGCGCCAGTTCTTCAGTCCCTTTCAACCCACCAACACATACGTAGAACATTCCGCTTTTGATCGCCTTGTCGTCCGGATAAATCACCACGCGCTTGTCATGAGTGTCCAAACAACTGGATCTACATAATTATGGTAATGTATGGTCAAATCCGTTCCAAATTGGACTCAATCGAGTGATTTAGAGGCAAGTATATTTTAGCAAGTCCTAGCCAATCATGCTGCAGTATTGAGAAATTTGAACCAATCGTAGGTCATCCCATTTCGGCCCATTAGAACACCTTTAATAGTCGATCATATGGCAAGTCCAAATTTCAGCGAAAAGGTCAAAATAGGATCAGAATGTACCGCCAGTCGCAATCTGTGGGACATGGCGCAGTGGTCGTGGATGACACGTAAAGCTCGACGGCGTCGCAGTGGCAATCCAATTTGATCGTGACGATCCCGTCCACGCTCGAGTTGTGGTACGCAAAATATAGCATCTACACTCGACATTTTTCAATCAAATAGCAAGGATTTGATAATATTGTTGATACAACCAGAAGTATATAACCAAGGCAATCGTCGTACCTGGTTCGAATGCAGGACGTCTCGAACGGATTCACCCAGCTGGAGCTGCATAGGCTGACAAATCGATTCCCTTGTAGCGCGGTCCGCTCGAAACAGCGACATCCGGCGCTTGGTTTTGCTTCGAATGTCGGCCTTTACTGTGTCATGCGATGACGTGGCAGTCCCTGGTGACACGATGGCGATGGTTGTTGGAGACGGAGAGTCCGAGTCGACGTGAATGGAACGCAGGGCGTCGGTCAATTGAAAGTGGATGTCGATTTCTTCCGACTCGAACAGCGTGGCCCATCTGGCCATGTTGGTCAGAACGCACACATATGTATATATAGTAGATAAAGGAGCGAATACCTATTGGTGATACTTTGGTCCAATCGGGGAGATAGACAAATATCGCCCGCGACGAGGGCGCTGCCACTGTCGCAGAACGCGCTGTCGTCGTAGGTGGTGGTATGCGTCACGCCCTTGCCATCTTCGTCGTCGTCGTCGTCGTCCGAAGCGTCCAACGGGGTCCACTGGGGCGTTTGCGGTTTCGAACGCGTCTTGTACAAGGCCTATTAAGATACATAAGGGTGTATAAATAAATATATTCGATATATCTATATATTATTTGCTCATGGAACCAGTGTTTCAGTGGAAATAGACGGATTGGCGTGCATACCTGCACGTTCAAGTGCACGGGGTGGCTGAATAAGAATTCGCGCCGTTTCACTGGTTGGATTGAGGTTTTACTTGGGGGGGTGCTGGTCTGGGCTGCCGCGACCGCCGCAGCGAGCACCACGGATCGCTTTCTCGTTTTTGCTACTCGAGATTTTCGGCGCGGCGCCCCCTTTGCTTTCTTGGTCAAGTCGTCCAATAATGGTTCAGGGGCCTGTGTGTCTTGCGGAAGGCTGAATTTACGTGCTGGAGTGGACTCCATGGCAGGAGGAGTATTGCTACTGTCTTCTGGAACTCTGTCGTTTGGGGCTTGGTCATCTCCGTCGTCACCGGCGTCACCGTCGTCATCGTCCAGATCCGACGACTCGGCTCCACTGGAACTGTCCTCGTGAGCTAAAAACAACCGCACGCTAAATATCCCTCGCCAAAGATATGAATTTTTACAAAAATAGAAAAATAACATTAATACAATAAAACCAAATAAATATTTTACTTTCGGATAGGTGGTCGGGTGTGTCCTCTTCCAATGTAATGGGCGCTTCTAGGTCCTTCGTTGCGATCAGTTCGAGTGGATGCAAGTCGGGAGAAAGAGCACCGCTGATCGTGGTAGAGATTTCCTACACGACATATCAAATGTGTCGAAGTTGGTGTAGATAGAGTCCCAACCTCAATGTCGGACGAAATCCGAATAAATTGAGCGGGGTGGAGTTGTTTAAATAATGCCAAACTCGAGTCGAGGGGGGCTAATACGTAGTCGTGCACACACGCCGGTGGCACTGGCACCACTTCGACCAACGGATAACTTGTTTCCTCTTCTTCGAAGTCCTCGTCGTCTGAAAGACTGTGGTCGGGAGAGCTGCTAATTGACGTTTGCCTTGATCTGGTTGTGTTGGGAGCTTGTAGCAGCGAAGTGCCAGCAGCTTCAAGCAAATGTCCAAGGTGCTCGTGGTCATTCGCCATAGCTGGCTGTTGGCTTGGATCATCTTCAAGTGGCTCCATCGTCAATGAAAGCAGCTCTTCTGGGGGGAATAGCCGTTCGTTCCGTGTGTCTATGTCGCCTTCGTCGTTTTGTCCATCACATATGCCGTGGGGTGCCCCATTGCTGCTGCTATCGCTGTCGTCGTTACGCAATGGCGTGTCAAGTTGGTGTGAAACTTCGTCCGAAACGTCGTCGAATGCTGCTTGATTGCTTTGATCGGCCACCATCGCCTCATCAGACCCTTCACGTTGCCAACTGTTTCGGTGTCTGAACTCTAACTCGGGCAACGCCAGCAGCATATTGGACTCGTCGAAGGGCGACACGTCGGCCGACAAGATGAACTGCCTAAGCGCAGAAGGATTTCGTTCTTCAATGACATCGCCTTCTGACAAGTCCAGCGTCATGCGTTCTTGGGCTTGAACAGATGCAGCACCATCTGACGAGGCCTCGTTGGTGGGTTTACAGTCCGATATATAGGCAGTCGTGGCGGGAGGCTGCTGTTCGCAGATGTGATCGATGATGGTATTCTGTTCGTGTGGCTCGGTAACCTAGACAAGACGAATAATCAAAGCTCTAGTAAGTCGCCATGATGTATTATTGCACCTGTAGCAAGGCATGAGCAATATTGGCGGCTAGCGCCGCGTGGTCTTCGATGGACTGAAAAGATGAGACACTGTCACCAGTTGGAAGCAATGGGGTGGATGCTGCGTAGGGCTCAGTGTTGTCAGTAGATTGCTGTTTGTACGGTCTCGTGTGTGGGAATTGAACGTAGAGACTCGTGTACGTCTTGGCCACTGAGCGGACGGTGGTAGGTTTGGCTTTGACTGGGATAATTCGATCGGGAGATTGTGTGACAAGGGGTTTCGTCGGCGATATTTCTTGAATCGTCGGGTCATGTGTTTTATCAATCAACTCTCGCAACAGCGAAGAAGATACAGTCGACTTGGGAGCGACGCCAAGTTGTAGCGCACTCTCTACGAAAGGAGCGTTAGATTTCATTCTGATATGTAAACTCTCAACTAGGTGGGAGGTTTTGTACCTGGAATGTATGGGCCGGAGGGAAGTTCGTGATGGGTGGAGTGTGTGTTGTTGTACTCTTCGCGCTCGCGGAACGCTGGATGCATAACCTGAAGCGCTAAGTGTTCCATCCGCAGCGACGACATCCCGTCTTCCTCTTTGTCCTTAACGAGGGTATTTTCCCAGTGGAAATTGCCGGTCGAATGGTGATGGATTTGGTTGGTGGCTCCCAAATTCCCACCCTCGAGCTCTGTGACCCCAAGCGGGGGAGTTCGAAACATGGAGCATTCCATATACGCCACGATGTTTGCTAGAAGAAACCAAGGTTAGAAACAACCAAATTAGATATATATATAATGTATAACAACCAAACTAATATATATAATATAACAACTAAACTAATATATATATTTCATATGAAGTTGATTACCTCGATACTTGTCGTCGAGCTCCAACTTATACCCGTAGCTAAACTCGTGAATGTCTGAAAACGCCAAGTACTTTTGGGTTTTTAATGCCACAATGTATAGCAGCGAAAACATGTCCAGGTAGCACACGGCGCCATCTCGTTCGTGGTCTTGATACCTTGTCAGTGTCCAACATACAACATCAACAACATCATATGAGCGATACGAGGTAATAATATATATCAATCTCTAATAATAAAAGTCAAACACATTACCGGCAGATCAACCGGTCGATGCTGTCGACCGCATTGAACGATGTGTCCAGAGGCGGCCACAACGTGATCATACCAAGTAAAATGGACGTGAACGTGACAGCATCGACACACCCGTCCCGGCGGCGGTCGTAGTAAACAAAACAGTCCAAAAGGACGTGGAGTTTGTGGAAATCGTCGGCCAAGTCGGCAATTGCCGGTTGGTTTCGCGGGTTGAAAAGGGCGGTAGCAGACGTTTCGTACGCCACACAGGTGTCTCTCCATTCCGCCAGCCACAGCGACAAGAACGCGTGGATTTCAATCGTTCCCGAGCACGTTTCTGACGTGGCTTTAGCGAGGACGTTCGACACAAACTTTGGAGGGACCTACGCAAATTCACACTTGAGTTTCCAAGAAAGTTGCTGCAAAGTTTGCTCGTTGTACATGCGGGTACACGAGCAGGTCTTGGCAGCAAAGGCGACACGCGTTAGTGGTGATCATTTCCCAACAAGAATGTTTGTCCCCGTGTGCGACATCCACTCCGTAGGTGCTCTGAGCCCCAGGCAGCCCCTCGCCCAGACTAACCAGGCCGTGGGATTGCAGCCAATAGTACCCCTTGATGTACAGCTGCACTAGCCAGAGGGGCACAGCGGGTGACTCGTGGAAGAGGTCACAACAGTGCGCAAATGCATTGATGGCAGCATAGTTCACCGAGTGCTCGGCCACGGATATCCAAAACCATGTGAGTTTGAGCTCCACGACTGATTGCATGCCGAATCTACGATTTAAAAAAAGAAAATGGGAAGGTTGTGATGTATTTGGTCGTGGGTGTACCGTACTTGGTTTTGAAGAGGGAGTAGGCTATGGCACCAAGAGTCGACGTTGGTTGGAGTTGGGCTTCGTTGTCGAGCTGAAGTCGCTTGTAAATTTGATGCACGATCGATAGCACCGATCGGGCGGGAAAGATTGCGTCAGAGTGGACAACATGTTGCTTTTTATGGCAAGTATCACACTTCTACTCCAACCCCATCGCAACACGTCGAGTGTTTTTAGTTGGTCATTGAAAACAACAAGAATATATATCCGTGTAAAACTATTCATACCACGTGCAAAGGTCGTGGGTTGTCTGGCGGGTTCTATTTTCGAATGAACTTTGCCTCCAATATATATATATATATGGATTTGAATTCAGCACCTGAAACACGAGTTTGCCCGTACACCAGCACCACTCAGTTCGCCAAAACGGTTGAAGGTCCCGAGGTAAATAAATATTTTGCGTCCACACGGAAATCCTGGAACTGGCCACGAGATGCGGCGGCACGGAGGCCACTGGTCGAAGGCGCGGCTGGCCAGCTGCTGGCGGTGGGATCGACACAGTCACATACTCCACCGACTTTTCACCCACAGAATTGAAGGATACAACGGCTTTGGTTTTTCCCATAGCGTCATAGCGATGACGTGGCGCGTTCTCGTGCTTAGACGATGTAATTGTGGTGTTGCACCAGCTTAATGCAGCTAAGACTTGGGCCCAGCTCAATTGGGACGACGGCAGCAGCCGGTGGGTTTTTAGAAACAGGGCGTGCCGCTTGCCAGAATAAGACACTGCGCTGGGTTCAGAGTGGGCCAACGCCCGCCAGATTTTGTATACGCGCCGGACATCCGAGGCCGGAATGAAGATCTACATGGAAAGTAATATATATATCAGTATTTATATCAAATATGTAGTCAAATAGGTCAATATGAAAGCAGTAGGGTTGGTGGGATATTGTACTTCCGATTCAGCTTCGAATTGATGCTCCGAATGTGTACTAGCCAAGAACTGGCGAATCGCTTCCGCCATCAACTCGTGTTCCTATCATCACACACAATTATTATATCGAAAAATATATGCTTCCATACTGTGGGGCTTTGCGTAGGAGGACGCACGACGGACAAACTGTCCGGGAACATCTCTGCCATAGTTGCATTGTCCACGGCTGCTTCATTCGGTGCAACATGGCATTCCAACTGCTGCCATCGACTCGATGTAGGTGGAGAAGTACGAGTAGGCTCGTCTTGAGTATGGATTTGAATATGATTTGGCTTTGTGGGGATGATGGCTGGTCGGAGGTTTGAGATGAATTTCACGCGGCAAATCTCGTGTGGCAACGTCACGACGATCGAGTCTCCGTACACGAAAGCGTCCAGCACAGGGCCGTGGAATTCAAAGTACCTAAATTGAAACAATCAATTCATCTATTGCAACAAGGACAACTCACGTACCGTCGTTCGAGACTGACCATCTTGAGGCCATCCAGTGCCCACACTATCACATGGCCGTCGAAGGAAGCGGAAACGAACGAGCAGTGCATGATGATATTGGACGGAGGGTTCAGTTGGCCTGGATGGGGCACCGACCGGAGGCGGGATACGCGTCGCTGGTGCGCGTCACTCTTCGAAAACACTGTCCACGTCATCTCGCACACCTACATACATTGATAGATAGATATATGTATCGATAGATAGCTTGTACAATAACAAGGGGAATCGTCGCAAACTCAATCCATCCATGTAGCTATCTATCATCACAAACGGAAACAAATTATATAGAAGAAGAATAGTTTTATAATTTTTCAAACATGAATATTTAAAAAATACAAGCTCTACGACTTGAACCTACCTTGGTTGCTGCATGGCGGGCATCCAGTTGATATATCGCAACGTGCCCGGATTCAAATCCACACAGGAGAAATGTCACGCAATCGTCTTGTTCTATCACACAAGTCGCGGTGACGGCGCTCCTGCTAGGACACACCGCCGAAAGCTGACACATCAACACGGGTGGAGCGTTGCTGGACAGTGTAGTGACATCCCACACTTTAGCATGGCCATCGCTCGTGATGGAGACAAGGGCTTGGCGACGAAGGGGACCGACGAAAAACGGCAAGAGGCTGTGCACTGCGGTGCTGTGGCATCTCCAAGTGACCATGGCATGATCTACGTTCTCGGCACTAGAACGAAAGTAAATATATGTACTCGATGAACGAATAAATCGACATCAGTTTGTGTACGGCAATGTGTGTGTACCTTGATAGGGAAGCAACTCGCCACATACACACGAATCCGTCCCCCGAAGCCGCCAATACACACGTTGACCCTACCACCATCCAAACATGTTCATGGTCACACAATTATCTACAGTAATATCATTAATACAGTACCTGCATCGTCTGGATGCTTGGTGCGTGGCAACGGCTCCAGCGTTTTCGACGACGACCGGAGTAACGTGCCGCCCCATGTACTACTACTAGTTGTACTCTTGGTCGTCGGCGACGGTGTTTTTCGGGCTTTTGATGAAACTGGGATGGCCACGACAGTCATGCAGCCCACGCTCGTGGTCAATACTGGGTCGGATAACTGTCCCAGCATAGTTTGATTATCAAAGATTTGCACATTTCCAGTGGACCACCCCAGCACAATAGTATGGTCGTGGACGATCAAGCATGTGATGGCTTCTGACCACACACTGGGAACGGTCATCGTCTAAGCAAAAACGTCACGAGTCTGCTCTGCAAGTTCACGACGGATACTACCTGACACAACGTCGCAGATGGACTAAACGAAAGAATCGCGATCGTGTTGTTGCTATTTAACGTCGCAGCCATCGAAGGAGAAATGGGCTGGTTGATGGCGGTGTGCAGAATGGTCAGCGGCGCATAGTGCGAATGTTGTGGCAACTCATACACACTCTCGGCCAGACTTTGGATTTTGAGCACGTGAACGCTGTCTCGGGCGGCCACAAAGAGCAAATGCTCGGTGAAATGCCCCATGTCCACCGCCACGGGCACGCCTGTGGAGTTGCCACGTCAGCTGGTTGGATCTAGTATTACGTAGTACTGAAGTATTGTCTAATGGATTCGAAACTGGGGCCCTCAGCAGAATCAAATGCCTTAAGAGGACGGATTAAAGAACCTCATAAGCCAATCAAATCACGTTCTAGTGAATTTCTGCCAATCCAACCGTTTGACTCGGCTCTGTAATTGGGCAAAACCATGTATATACTAATCTTTGTATTGTATAGTTTGTACAAGCTTAAATTGGATCAAATGGATTCGAATGCATTTGGCGAATGACTTACAAGTCCAAATATGGGTGAAATGCACAATAAGAGAATGGATTAAGAACCACCGAAGCCAATCAAAACTCGTTCTGGTGAATTTCTGCTAATCCAAACGTTTGATTCGCCCTTCGCATTGGGCAAAACCACGTATATCTCAACCTTTCTATTGCATAGTTTGTACAAGCTTAAATTTGGATCACATGGATTCGAACACTAACGTTCTTTGGCGAAAGGACTCACAAGTCCAAATTTGGGTGAAATGTACAATATGACATACAACAATCAACTGTAAAACGTACAGAACACGCGCTTGTGTTTTTTTTTCGTCGTGTCGGAGGCGCCTCGCACGACGGGTTCAAACTGGCCGAGTTTGTCGAATTGGACGTTGATGTCTCCTAGTTCAAAGAATATATTTACTAGTATGAACAAAAAAAGGTTTTTGCGTTGCAAGCAGCAGACGTTTAAATTGAGTACCTTCGCCGTTCAGGACAGTTCGAAAGCGATAATGCTGGACACGGGCGTCGTTGCCAACACTAAACAAATCCATTTCCATTTCCGTCGAGTTGTCGTTGTCTACTTTCGGCTGCGGAAAGATGCTGGTGACTCCGCCCACATGTACCATATCGCCATTCACACACTTGTATGGACTGGCTCCCGGCCCAATTTGGTACCTAAAACTCGGAATTAAATACTACGTAGTACCAATTGTTTTTAAAAATCGAAATAATCGAGTTTTAGCTTGTATTGTTTTGAACGGGGCGTACAGTCGGGACAACGAATAGCCAACATTCCAAATGTTCAGCGTGCCGTTGGCGTGCCCCGAAAACAGCCATTGTGCACACTTGGATCTAGTCATTCATTTTGTTCAACTCATTAACACGCATTAAACACATACAGTTGAATGGTTGTGAGCCTTCGGTCATTGTCAAAGCCATTTTGAACCTAATGTTCAAATTACTATCAGGATGTGAAGAACAGTGGAGGGAGAACTTACTTTGATGATTTGCCTCGTGGAACGATCCCAGGCTGTCAGCGATGTCCGCTGCTTGCCGTGATCAAGGTCGTCGTCTCCACTTGTATGGGGTACGATGATTCCGAATACCCGGGTCACGCAGGCAGCCAGCATAACCACCTAAACGGAGTCAGAAGCAATATTAATTCATAGATGGATGTGTACTTGGTTTTTTGACGGCGCCAGCGATAGTCGTGGTTGAATTTGGACAAGAGATAACGTGTCATTCTTGTCGTGGGTGCGAATTACACCCCATACTTCGATAACGTAGGCAAAGGACGATTGCTTGTTATTGAGAACGGGGAATTCGCTGCAAACCAGTAGATCGCACTTTTCATCTAGATATTGATTGGTCAGACACCATAAACACCAAGGCAAAATACCTTCCATGGCCGAGCATTGAATCATATTGGAGGCACCTCCGCGAAATCGGTACAGCTTGTCCAACGAAGCAGGCTCCAAGATCTCCACGCCACACACGTCCTACGGTACAATATAATACGTCAAGAGAGCAAATTAAGTCGTCCCGTACGTCGCGCGGCATGGCGTACACACACACAAACACGTCGGGGGTGCTGGCGTACAAAAGATGCATGGTCACTGCGTTTGGAGCATACTGCACTGCTGCCGTGTCGTCATCAAACAACCTCCGGCTCTTGATCTCGCGCTTCAGCGAGAACAAGCGGAGGGTGTGCTCGGTAAGGATCGGATTCGGAATCAACGGATTCTTCGACGGACTGGGGGGCAAGTCGCAGTTGCTGTAGGTAAGAATATGGTGGCGCACCGTATCGTAACAGAATGCTCGGATGGAAATCCCAGGACTACACAGCAGCTCGTGGCGATGCTGGAGCGTGTCATGCATGTTGGCTGCATAGCGTTTGGACTTCTTGGGCTCCTCTTGGGTGACGGCATTCAAGCTCATTCCTTCAGCGCATGAAAGTGTTTTGAATGGCGTAACTGACTGATTGTTGCAGTTACCTATTTTTTCCAATGCTGGCACCGGTATAATTAATATACTGGTGCCAGCATTGGACTCATAAACTTGTAGATTTCTACAAACTATACAGACACCGTCGCTGCAAGTTTGAAGACTATCCGTTTATGCCAGCAAGAGGCCCCCAAATGACTCAAAATGACTACATACAGTACGACTTTCTGATCATGAAGCCAACGGCATAGCGCACAATTTTTGTATTATTAATTATTGCAGTGACTGCAGAAGGGCGCCTGGAACCAGTCAGTGGTGATCAAAATATTGTGTATACTTACTTATTCTTGTCCACCATACCAGAGAAATACTGTATCTATTTTTGGCAAACCAACAACTTGATATTTATTCCACAGGAGCTGCTCAATTCTTTAATGACGTCTCACATGAATTTCTTATTCAAATTATTCTTAACTTTTTTTAGTCGCCGTTGATTGGTGTGAACTCCATACAACAGCTAAACTAGCCAATCCGATCGTCCGGTGAAATGCAAATGCTGAGGGTTAGGGTAGTTTTGCACTCGGCAGAACGTGGAAGACCATGCAAGATCATGCAGATAATGAGTGAATTACAGCACGGCAGATTGGGCCAGTGTGTCACACCAGAGAACGTAGAGCTCTGAACTTGCGATTTGTCGTGAAACCCCGCGACATTCTGGTGGAGCAGCAGGGTAGGTGTTTGCAAAGGAAGCGCGGAAGAAGAAAGGAAAGATGTCGACAGAAGAACCCATGATGACAGCGGTGCGCCAATCACGCCGTCTGGAGGGAGGTGCCTCTGAGTTTGGACTCCTGGACAGGAACGCCTATTACGAAAGAAGCATCTGGCCACGGGTCTGGTCCCGTTGGAAGAAGATAAGTATCGACTCCGGGACGGAAGCGGGAAGCTGACGTATCACCCCCGACCGACCGTCCAGAGACGCGATCACCGTTGAAGAGACCGGCGCTGACATCGGCGGCAGACCTGGCCTACGACTCCCCTAGTCAGAACCGGTACCGAAGGTCCGACCCTGACCCTGGCCGGAACTGGTACCGAAGGTCGTGAGTCTGACGCCGAAACCTTAGAGTGCTGTTTGATACCTGTTCCAGCTCCCGGATACACCTCCCATCCAGAAGGCCTATGAAGAATTCACTCGGGGCATTGAAGAGTAACAACGAACGGCGTCCCTACTGTTTACAGGATCGGGAACGGAGTCTGAAGGAGGAAGTACAGCGATGCCAAGGGATGGAACGAGTCTGGGAAGAAGAGCATCGACGTCTCCTGGAGAGCGAAGAGACGGCCGGGGAACTCCAGGAGTCTATCCTCACCGAGCAGAATCGGTACGAACAGACCCTACTTTCGGAACAAGGACGACACCAGGATCACGAACAGTTGGTCCAGGAGCAATTCATGACACTTACTCAAGAAAGCACTCAGTGCGGAGAAGATCCCTCGCCCTGGACACGGGATCAGGTGGAACGGGAGAGGCACGCCAACGAAGAGGTGCTGCTCCAAGTAGATGAAGCGCGCACCTGTTTGGAAACGGAGAAATTGCAGTTGAGGGATCAGGAAGCTACCCTATTCAGGGAACGGTCGGTCCAGGACCTCTCCCTGAGCCAGGCGTATGCGGAGTTGGAACGCCCAGCTACAAGTGGAACAAAGAGCTGTGGAACTCCAACAAAGGACGCCCCGAAAGACGAGCAATGCCCCGTACGCGACATATGGGATCCCGACTATGTCCCGGATGGGGTCCCCGTCTAAAGGAAGTCGGATCCTACGTTTACTACGGCGCCCTTGCTCCCGACCACCCGCTCAAACACGTCTACGCCTCGCCGAGCCTTCGACCAAACTTCTTTTATGCAGCAGACTGGGGTGCTGACAGAATTAGCTTCGCTCCGGATGCCACCGACGTTTACGGTCCGGGACACCACGCCGCTACCGTTTGTGCTGACGGCGGCTCCCCTGTCGTGACCCAACCGTGGTGCCGACTCGTACCCGTCCTCGGGGGCCTATGACCAGCAGCTCGGAGTAGTGTACACGCAGCCATCCCCTCGTGAAACCGGGTCGGGGTATGCCCCTCCGGCCTCCTATGGTCCGGAACCCGGTGGTGGAGGTTTACAGTCCCGGGGCGGCTACGGGGGTGGTTACTCAGGTCGAACGAATTCTCCCACACCTCCTGGAAGCGGACCAAGTGGGCGTGACTATGGTGGACCTTTCGGGGGCCGATGTGACCCTCCGGGACCTCCTGGTGGTGGAGGACCTGGACATGGAGGATCCAGCGGGTACTACGGTGGTCCTCCTGGCCCTCCGGGAGGCGGACCTGGAGGAGACTGCACTGGTCCCGGACAGCCCAACTCACCCCTGGAGCCCCGTTCGGCTTCACGTCAGGCCATGTCCGATGCTCGGATGGCGAAGTTTGATATCATCCAGAAGGAGTACGGGCTCAACGACACCTAGGTCGTTCGATGACCGCCTGACATCGTTCGGGGTACTTTCCGTCCAGGACAGGTGGGCTCGATGGTGCCGTGACAGCGAACCAGTCTCCTGGGTGGAGGCTCGGGAGGCTTTCCGGAAGGAATCGAAAGGTGGCCGAGATTACTGACACCCACCGGAAGTCTACGGAAACCGTCCGGGAGTATGCGTGGCGGATCGCGGACGCCTCCCGGGAGGCTGGGTTGCAGGCCAATAGGGCCGTGGTTATTATGATCAATGGATATAGCGATGCGGAAGTGGCCACGTGCCTCCGGGGAGCCTCTGTTTGACCTGAGACTATCGAAATCAGCCTGGACTACCTGATTCAGCGAGATGTGGACATCAACAGACGAACGGATGGTTTCCGATCGCCCCCCCGGACGACACCGGTTGCTCCGTCGACGCCGACTAGGTCCGCTCGGAACACGTCCCAGACTCAGTCCTCTTCGACGCCCAATAGAAATCTCCAGGAGCTCCAGGCCTCCATCTCACGACTTCAACGGGACATGACGAGCTTGACTACCTCTAACAACGACTAGTTTTCCTCCATCCAAGATGTCGTCGCCATGATCTTTACGGACAACCCGGCAGGGAACAACCCGGTAGAGCCCCGTATCTGCATGGATCCGGACGACGAACTAAGTCGGGTGAGGTCATTTGCGGGAGGTGTACCATGCGAGGCACTCTCGTGAACAGTATCCTCGGTTGTCGTGGTTCTGTACTCGGTGCCGCTCCAAAGGTCACGCACTATCGGAGTGCAGCCTGTCCCGGGACAACGGAGGTCGGGGTCCGGGACAAACCCGAACGGGACGAGGAGGAAATGCAACCTGTTACACCTGTGGGAAGATGGACCATTTGAGCTGGGGTTGTCCGTTGAACGCGTCCAAGCAGAGCACTATGCCGGCCCACGTCGTGGCTGCATTGCAATCCTGGTATATGTCGGACAACAAGCAATAATCCACAGAAGGCAGCCCCGACTCCGATATACAATGAGGACAACGGTCGGAACCAAGCCGCCGGATGTGGCGTGGCACTGACCGCGAGATTATAAATGACCTCCGAAGATGATAACAAACAAAGTACACGTAGCCCTGGGATATCCTCGCCCTCTCCGGAGGATAAGGAAGGATCCCAAGACTCAGACAAGATGGACGATACCTCCCCCGGGGTGGTACGGTACTCGGCGACAATCGAACCCCGGACTGCTCCGGGGCTGGGCGGCAATACGAAGAATGGCAGGGCGAGTCAACCCTCGCAAAGGAACAGAGTCCCGGGCTCTGCGTGCATGCTACAAGAGGGCGGGATACAGGCTGAAGACAAGTTACAGACAGAAGCCATGATGCTACCTCCCTTCGACGAGAGGCACGGGCCAGGTGCGCAACCGCGCCCCGTACCTCTCCCGGAAGACAGCACCGTGAGAACAGAAGAAGGCGATATCATTGGAGTTCCGGGAACGAAGGAGACCGACCTTACGGCGACAGACATACGTAGGAAGAGGCTGCGATGAGGCGCCTGGAAGAAACGAGACAATTGAAGAGATCTCCGGGACCACGGGCGTATACACAGGACACAGCCCCGGGGGTGACTCGCGTCGACAAACGGACGGGAGCAACGAGAAGGAATCGAAGGGGGTGTAGTCATAACCCTGCGATGAAGAGAAGGGCATTTATTTAGAACCCTCAAAACAAGAAAGTTCGTGTCGACAAACTGAACCGAACACCCGCGACGCTAGTGCGTTGCCTGACAGAGATTCTCTGGCACCTGTCCCGGACCCAGCCTCGGGTCCGGGGCACATTGGCCACCTTCCCCGAAGAGACAAGTGACGCTCGGGAGCCAGGAGCACCTTCTCGAGACTCAATGAACCCGGTGCTAGGTAGCCCGGGCCCAGTTATGGCGTGTTCGGGGGCCGGGACTATTAGTGCTGTAACCGTTGGGAGCACCCGGACTGGGTATTCGAAACTGGAAGACCTCCGTCCGGACTCGGATATCACCCCGGTATTCACTGCGGCCCAGATTTAGGCGATCTCCCGGGGCGATATGACCGGACTTCCCGACTCTCGACATGTGGATATCAAAGAACGGCTCTACCCGCTCTCGCCCGCGGATCTGGAACTACAATTGAAGGCGCTCGCTCACAATGAAAGGACGTAACCCATCCCGACATCGTCCGGGTGGTGACTACGGCGCTCAAACTACCGCTGACGGAGGCCGATAATATACTATTCAACTCCCCGCTGGATATCGACGACCCTGAAAGGTGATTGGACTGGTTCTCGACAACCCTTAACACGTGCGAAGAGGCCCACACTGCAAATCGGAACTTCGAGCAGGAACGAGTGGCCATGGTGGCTGACACTCAGTCGTCTCGGATGTTCCGGAACGGTATTGGAGCGGCAGAGCTTGCTGGTATTGGCCCTTCTCCAGACCTCCAGGGGACCGCCTCAGGAGTCCTGGCGGCTATCGGACTCCTCGCCCCCTCTGCAGACGTCAGGCTCGCCCAAAGAAAAGGGTCTCGATGGAGGGTGCGGTTGCGTTCTATATACCGGACCTCGGGGTACAACTGACGCTACCCCTCCGGGACTTAGAAGCTACCCGACTGCACTCACGCATCTGGAGGGTACGTCGTCGAACTCTGACCTCTAGGCGACGTTACCTTGCAACCGAAGGACTCGACTCTGGGAGTGTCGTGATCGACCCGGGCATTCCCCCACACTTGCACGAAACCGAGGCTCCGGACAGGCGACACGACCCGAGGGTCCGGGAGGACTCTACATGTCTTGAAGTAGCGGATTTGGAGGTTCGGGAGACTGTTCGGTCCATGGATTGGCCGTTCCAGGGCCTTGACGAGTCCGGGTTCACGGCCCTCCTTCACTCCCGGACCCGCGATCCGTATCCGTTGTGTGGCGTCATGACCGGATCCCTGGCACCACTTGTTCTGGCCACCATCGATGGGCATAGCACACAAGCTTTGGTAGACACGGGTGCATCGGTTACGGTCATTAGCCAGGAATTTTGGATGCTCCTGGGCCGCCCTTCTCTCCGTACCCCGTCGTACGGTCTAGTTTCAGCTGCGAACGCCGGCATTTCGACTCTGGGGTTTCGACACTGCAGCATTACCTTGGCCGGTATATCTACAACGTTCCCGGTCTGGGTTCTGGAAGACTCAGTCACCCCGTGCATCTTGGGAGTCAATCTCCTCCGGAAGTTGCATGCTCGTTGACTTCAAACGGGACCAAGTATGTTTCGAGGGCAACCGAGTGACCCTCCCGTTTATCACCCCGGGAGAGGATGACCTCTCCAGACAGGACCGAACAGTAGCGCATCTCCGCCGGGAGGACGAGGACACCAACCAACCACGGGGGCAGACCCGGGTACAGGACGGCCGACAACTACCACGACGGCCCGGGACCACCTCACCCTGACGGCATCGAAAACCGTTCGCCTACGGAGCCGCTCTCGGAGGATAAAATATTGCCACATAAGAATTGCTGAGGACCACATAGGAATTGCTGAGAGCCACATAAGGATTGCTGAATCGCACATAGTTTCTGCTGATGGACACATGAGATTTGCTGAATTGAATATAGAGTACGTTACACAGCGAGATCCACTTCTGCAGACAGTGCGTTATGAGAATTTCTGGACACGTGTGACTATTAGCAATGTGATTGGTTATTAAACTCACATATGAAGGAAATCACGAAATACCTTAAACTTATAGACGGCCCTATGACCAACCCACCGATTGATGACATGAAGCGGAAGCGAATCAGGATGTAGTGTATATTGCTGCGAGTAGCTATACGTATACATGGGACTAAACCTCGAACGATTGCTTCAGGCCTCGTGGCCTGGAGCAGTCGTGTGAACTGTACTGCATGCTACCAGACTCCCACAGCAACCAGCCTATGCCACAAGCCGCCAAAATTCCACGTATATTGTATATTGTGCTTCGTGCTGCTTCTGTAAGACATTTTCTATAGCCGTGATTTATGTAGTGCCTAGAAATAGAATGAACCTTTTTTGTGGTACTAAGGCAAGACTCATTCGAGAGTCCTGAATCATGCCAGCAGTTGAGCTAGCAATTTGATGTAGCCCTTTGATATTCCTTTGTACTAGTATGCGTTATGTGTGTGCAATGTGACTTTGTGTGAAAGTTAAAAGTAAAACGTACAGCTGTGTGTGGAGCTCAACGACAAGTTATTCGTGTAAACGCTAGCAATTTGGGTAAGAGCCGTGGTGAATCTACATCAGAAAGTAGAGGTTTCATTCAGTCACTAAGCGCGTCTAGCTCATAGTGCATGTAAATCGCTAAAGCTGTATCGATTGCAACCCCTACATCGTTTATAACCAACCCCCCACGGCATTATGTCCCCTCCACAACGCTTCTGCTTGTCTTATCGACATGTGAAAGCACACAAGCACCATTCTACGAGGTTAGAGCCACCATTCACGACATCATGACTAGCTTATAGTGTATGTAGATCGCCAGAATACTAGCGACTACAACTCCTGCACCTCCTCAGCCCTTATGTATCCCACCTCACAATATTCGACTTGTAATATCACCCAAGCCAAATTGCCTAGCACACTCTAGCACGCTGTTTATTGTTCTCAACGCTCACTCGAATATACACTTAGTAGTGTCAAGGCTTTTTGGCCAAAATATGCTGTCCTCGTTTCGATAAGTTTAGGATAGTTCGATCGTTACATTGAAGATTAGTATACTCTTGGAGTAGCAAATTGTAAAAAACTACCTAACAGTTACTAAAAAAGTTACGTTAAGTTTCATGTGGGTTTTTGTGGTACAAAACCGTACAACCAACGTTCCCAAATGAACTTCATACTACACTGTATTGCAATACAGTATTGTATACTTTCGCTGTAGCAAATTATAAAATACTACCTGGGCGTTTCACAAACTGCGAGCAACTAACATGTAACATGTAAGTACAAAGCAACCAAGAGTAATTGATTCTCCATAATTATTCAGCTACTCGCGGGGTACACATATACTGTAGCTTGCTTACTTCCGGCACGCATATCCTCCGCACACATACTACATACAGAGCTGCCTCTGGTCAGCGCAACGAGCCATTGTGCTGCCACAGATTCACTCTACAGCCTGAGTTATCGGCATAATTCTTGTGGCCCCTTGGAGCCATTCATTTTGAGCACTTCCGGGGCACACATACACTTCACATATATATTATATTACAGAGCTACCTCTGACCAGTTGAACGAGCTATTGTGCTGCCTCAGATTCACTCTACAGTCTGAGTTATTGTTGTCGCTCCAGGCTTGGAACAAACACGCTTGACACTAACGAGGTCTATTCAGAAGTAAATTTGAGGTAAAGTTCACTCTCGCTGTGACGCAATTCCAGGCGGAAACCGACCAACGCGTTGCCGTGAGCATGTCCACGGCGTACAAGTTTCTTGGTTCTCATGTCTACAACATGATCGATTTCACGAAGCTTGTAGTGGCTCTTGAACGCAGTACTCTCTAATCGAGTTCTTGTCGTGAATTGTATACCGCTTGCTTTACTTGCGCTTGTTTTGCATGCTCTCAAATGTCTTTGTGTGTGTAGTTGTCAATGTGAGGTGTTTGGCTCCTCAATTTTGAATTTTCAAACGATGCATGCATGTCATAAGGCCCCTAGTAAATTAATATCGAATAAAATTTAACGGTGTATAAATTTATACCAGGGAGCAAACGTTGAGGGATCACTGTACTGTATCCCTTGCCACCATCCGATTGTTGATTACCCCGGGCTACGCAGTGTATGCCAACAATTCAGATGTAATATTAAGTACCTTAATGCGCAGTCGCATCACCGAGATTCTACCTCACCACATGAGTTGACAATTCAAGTGTAATACAATTCCCTTTTTAAGTACCTTGATGCACAGCCGCATCACTCGAGATTCCACCTCACCACATGAGTTGACAGGTGGCGTCTGTTCTGTGGTTTTCAGCAAAATTTATGTGGCAAGAATGTGAACTCCCGCTCTCGTCACATGATCTGTTGTTTGCTCTCCAATCCAGTCCCGGACGGACACCTGGTCCTCGTCGAACAACTGCAACGTGCATTCCCGCTACAGGTCGCTCGATCCCTCAACCGTAGCCGGGCCAACGGTGTCTGGATCCAACTCCGGAATCCGACCGATTCGGTTGTCGAGATCCGACCTGCCGATGTCATGGCCATGGGGACCCCGGTACCCACCACCATACAAAACCTTGAGACGGTGGACGGCACGGACCAGCACTCGCCTCGGAGTGCGAGCCGACATGTGAAATGACAAAAGAATGCCCGGAAGGCGACGTACACCCGGGAGGAGTATGTGCAGCACTCCAGAAAAGCAAGGACGAGGTCCCGATCGACTGGAAGGACTCCAGTCTCAACCCGCCACAGAAAGAGCTGCTTCGGAAACTACTCTTGCGTTTTAACCTGTTCATGACCACTCGAAGGCTCCGGGACAGACAGACCTGGTGAAGTGCCATATCAATACGGCATATGCCAGCCCCATTAAGTTATCCAAAAGGAAGGAGAGATCATGGAAGCCGAGATTCGTCAGTACCTGGAGCTGGTATTGATCCGGAAGTCCTCCAGTCCCTGGGCGAGTCCGGTGTTGATGATTCGAAAACCAGACTGCTCTATACGTTTCTGCATCGACTACCGGAAGCTCAACGATGTGACTGTCAAAGACTGCTACCCCATGCCCCGAGTGGACGACATCCTCCTGGACGTCCTCGGAAAATGCAAGTACTTTACAACGATGGATGTGGCCTCGGGGTACTGGAATGTCAGGATGGCCGAGAATAGTATCCAGAAGACGGCCTTCACGTGCAAATTTGGCCTGTACGAATGGCTGGTGATGCCGTTTGGACTGTGCAACGCGGTCCTGCAATTCGAGCGCTTGATGGAGGGAGTGCTCCAAGACTAGGCGTATATGTCTGGTCTACCTGAACGACGTAATCATCTTCAGCGAAGATTTCGGAACTCACCTAGTCCGGATTCAACAGTCCTGACCTGCCTCCAGGACGCCGGATTTAAACTGAAGATGTCCAAGTGCCAGTGGGGACGGGACAGGGTCGGGCATACGATAACTCCGGGAGGAATCCTTCCGAACCCAGAGAAGGTCAAGGCCGTCCTGAGAATCAAACCCCTGCGAAACGTGGCTCAGGTGCGGTCCTTCCTGGGGCTGGCAGGGTACTTCCGAAGATTCATCAAGGGATACGCTACCATCTCCCGACCCCTGGAACAACTTAAGGTGTTCGATACCTTCCAGTGGTCCTCCGAATGTCAACAGGCCCTGGATACCTTAAAAGACAGCTGACCAGCCCTCTGATCTTGGCGTACCCGGACTTTGATCTCCCGTTCACAATCCTGGTGGACGCCTGTCCAATCGCCCTAGGGGCAGTCTTGATGCAGGAACAGAGAGGGAGACACCGAGTAATAGCCTACACGAGCCAAGCGCTAGATGCGACTCAGCAGAAATGGATCTCCAAGAAAGATGAAGTCTCTGAGATCGAATGCTATGGATTGGTATGGGCCACTGGCAAATTCCGGCGTTACATCGATAGGCGACATTTCACGGTGTATACGGACCATGCAGCTTTGTTTGGCTATACAAGACCGGATCGAAGTCCGGGAACGGACAGTTGGCCCGGTGGGCAGTACACCTCCAAAGCCTGGATTTCACGGTGATCCACCGGCCCGGGGCCTTCATGGGGTGTGCGGATGGCTTGTCCCGACTACCCCTCGAAACGCAGGAGGACATGAAGGGAGGCCCCGGAGCCGTCGCTCTACGATGGGAGCCGGAAGCGGAAGAATTCCAAACTCTCCCAGTACAGACGGGTGGGCCACGAGTGTGTGCAATCGCTAAAGGAGTGGTCGGAGCCGTAACACGGAGCCATTCCTAGGCGACCGCGGCTGAGAATCCGGCTCCCTACCCTCCTGGCAAAGAACCCCCCAAGGAAGGGCGACCCGAGGAACGGGAGACCAGCCCCGGACCCTCCGGGCCTCACCCGGTGAGCTACATCCTTATCAAGACGACACCTACACGCTCCCAGACGCGGTACTCCGGCGTGAACAGGCAAGGGACCCATTTGGGACGGCCATGAAAGCGTATCTGGAAGAAAACGCGCTCCCGCTGGACCCTTGGTTGATGCGACTGGTCTCCCGAACCTCCGAACATTACTCTGTGAAGGAAGGCGTATTGTACCGGCGTGTTGTGTTAAAATCCCCCACTACGAAACCCGCACATGAACCTGGTTCCGTATGGGTATGTATACCAACACTTCCATAAGTCCCGGAACCCTGAGGACCTCTGGGTCCAGAAGCTGGCTTACCATTGACACGATCCATACCGGGTGTACTCCAAACAGGGAGGGCGACAACACGTACCGGATCTACCTGCCGTCCCACCCGAATCGGAGAGTGAACCCATCAACGTCGATCGCCTGAAAGCATTTCACGGATACTGGACCCAACCCTTCAATGACGAGGTCCCGGAACGGTACACGGGACCCGCAGAATCAGGGACCGCAAGTGATGACACGGTCCTGGAAGACGACTTACTGCCTCGATCGAGCTTTGTGGAACGGGTTGACTTCCCTGAAGGATACGTGGCGTACGCGAACTCTCATTCCCCGGTCCTCCGCATACTGGACAAGCGACACGACGACGCCCGGGAAGTGGAGTACTTGGTGCAACACGCTGACGATACGACCCACTGGACACGGCGATCGCGCCTGGTCGATTATAATTCGTTCATCACCGAATACGAGAATGAGTCCCGGACACAGCAGGGACTCCCAGTACTGCGCCAAAGCCCCTGACTCGCCGAGTTGGACGTGGAGGCCGAAGTCGGGGAATACTAGTCGACCACCCGGGAGTCGCCAGGCCCGGGGAAAATCCCCGGGACAAACGACATTGCACGTTATATGGAATGCATTTACAAAAAAAAACTATATGTCCAGTCGGGAGACTTAATCGGCATCGGTACGGGAGCCTTCGGAGGAATTGTCCAAGACGACGGGGTTTGTGGCCGAAGGGGGCGCTGGCAAAGTGGGAATCCCTAGTGGAGCCTTCCGAACGGAAAGTGGCGGATCGGGAGAGCCAGAGCCAGGAGTCAGGCCCTGGGGAGGCCTCAGACCGCGTGCCCACTAAAACCGACTGGGGGATGCGAATGCGAGCCCACGATGAACGGATACACCCCGCCGACATTTCCTGCGTCCCGAGCCGAGATGGCCTCCTGGATCATCCATCCGATGGCAGACGAGATGACCTCGCGAGTACAGACCCCCCCAACACCCGCCAGGTTCCCGGGAGAAAAACGATTCAAGAGTTTAGCGCGCAATGTCCAGCCATGCAAACGGGGGAGCGAATGGTTTCGAACGACCTAAGAAAGGCACGACTGGCCATCACTCAGGACCTTGAGTCTGGACGTAATAGCTACCGTCTGACCGCCGTGCAAGGTGATTAGATTTCGAAAGGACACTCCCTCTCGGAGGAATTTCGCCAGTAGGAGTGCGGGTAGCAAAGGAATCGCAGCAGTTGGACCCCGTACGCCAGGACTACGCGGAACAGGCTCCCCAACAAAGATCCCATGAGAGCCTCGACCACGCGTTCGGCCGCGCCGGAGGACGTCATAAACGAACGGTTCCAAATCGAGTGTGCGTACTTCTCACAAAACGACCGGATGGCACGGTCCAGTTCTCCCTTTCTGGGATGCCATGAAAGCGGAACGAACGACACCAGAGTCGTCGAGTACCGTTCCCAGGGGCTCCTCGCGACCACGGCGGCATACGCCGAATCGACCGGGGGTTGTAAGGAGGCACCGAGGGGTTCCACTGCATCAGGGTCGGAACGTCGGGCCTTTTTCGTCAACTGCATCGACGTACCGGGGAGGGACGTTTCGAAGGCGGAGTCGACACCTGGGCACCTGGAAGATTTGTTGGGACACTGCTCGAGGTCCTCCGGGCCCAGGAGAGGTCTTACCCGAAGTCCTTGTGGTCTGGACCGCACCTGAGGCTCTCTCCGAAGCCCCTACGTTGAGCCGAGGCTCAAAGCCGCGTCCGCGGATTCCGTACCGGTAGTCCCGGGGGTCGTAGACGAGCCCGATTTTCTTGAGACCGAAGCATCTGCGGCCCCGGACGACGCACCCGTGACCAAAATCATCTTGCTGGTTGGCCCGGGAGACCCCTGGTATGGCGCCGCTCCTGATTGCGAGGTCGGGGTCGAAAGGGTTGGGACAGCCGGGCTCTGTGACCTTTTGTCCCGGGCCAGGACCGCGGACCAATTATCATACAACACCCCGGAGATTCGGTCCCGTGTGCGTGTGGACGGGGGTTGTCGTGTCAGGAAGGCGAATACCGGAAATGTTCTCACAGTTGCCTTCAAAGCGGGCTGGGTCGTCCCGGACACACGCCTCTAGAAGCAAGTCAAACACCGGCCCACTCGTCACGCGGAAGTGCGCACTGACCCAGTCCCAGAAGGCGGGAACGACGTCCGGGAATCGCAGCGTAACGGTCGCCAGGGCCCTGGACGTGGGCTGCTACTTCGACCTGGTTCCTTTCTTCGACCTTTGCGACTTCCTCCTGGTGCGACCGCTGTTGTCGGTCCAGCTCGCGTACTTGATCCGCCATTGAGGATAACTGGGCTTGAATGGCGTTTTCTACCCGAGTCGACAACTCTTTGTACTTTTTCGCCTCATCCTGATCTTCGCGAAGCCGAGTCTGGAGTCCCCCGACTTTGCCCAAACAAAGCCACGACCTCCGGAGGCTGTGCGGCTTGCGCTCTAGCGGCTGGAGCCGCCGCTGGGGCTACGGGAGCCACACAACGCTGCTGCGTTCGGACCCGAGCATAAGCAGAGGAGGCTGCCTGAAACTCCTGCCTGAGAGTTCACATTCCTGCCACATAAATTTTGCTGAAAACCACAGAACAGACGCCACCTGTCAACTCATGTGGTGAGGTAGAATCTCGAGTGATGCGGCTGCGCATTAAGGTACTTAAAAAGGGAATTGCATTACATCTGAATCGCTGGTACGCACACTTCGTAGTCCGGGGTGATCAATAATCGGATGGTGGCAAGGGATACAGTAGAATAAAAGTGCATACGATAGGAATGAACGTCCATGTTCCATGTCCATAACTCAGGCTGTAGAGTGAATCTGAGGCAGCACAATGGCTCGTTAAACTGGTCATAGGTAGTGCTTTAATGTAGTATATGTGTGAAGTTCACACATATACACTTCACACTGTGAAGAATATGTGTGCCGATGGTGGCAAGGGATACAGTAGAATAAAAGTGCATACGATAGGAATGAACGTACTGTACATGTCCATAACTCAGGCTGGAGAATTAATCTGAGGCAGCACAATAGCTCGTTCAACTGGTCAGAGGTAGCTCTGTGATGTAATATATATATGTGAAGTGTATGTGTGCCCCGGAAGTGCTCAAAATTAATGGCTCCAAGGGGCCACAACAATTTTACTGATAAGTCAGGCTGTAGAGTGAATTTGTGGCAGCACAATGGCTCGTTGCGCTGGCCAGAGGCAGTTCTGTATGTAGTATGTGTGCGGAGGATATGCAAGCTACAGTATATGTGTACCCCGCGAGTAGCTGAATAATTATGGAGAATCAATTACTCTTGGTTGCTTTGTACTTAGTTGCTCGCAGTTTGTGACACGGCCAGGTAGTATTTTACAATTTCCTACAGCGAAAGTATACAATATTGCAAGTACTGATTTCCCTCTTCTTTGGAAACAGGTCAAATCTCATAATTTCTATAAACAAATATTTATTAAGTATTGAAGGCTGTTCAAAAATTCAAATACTACACTGTAGTGTGGACTTACACGAAATTTCGTTTGAAAGATGAAGCTGCGAATGACTCTGGCCGACAAGATTGAATTGTACCAAGAACATGTGCGCAATCCAAGCAAGTCGTATGCTGAGCTGGCCCAATGGGCAGCGTACCAATTTAAACTAAACTCCGTTCGGACAAAATCGGCCATCTGTAAGGTCATGAAGCGGAACGAAACTCAAAGTCAACGAGCCGACAGCAAAGCACGAACATGCGATCGTTCTGTTAAACTACCCGAAGTCGAAGCGCAAACGCTGGCGTGGGTTCTCCGCTGCGAAGAACTGGGCATCTGCATCACCGGGGAACTCATCCGGAAACAAGCAATGACAATCTCATAACAACTGGGTGTGTCAGCATCGCGGCAAATATCCTACTCGAAGGGTTGGCTGCACAAATTTCAACGAAAGCATGGACTCACCAGCAAAATCCAACATGGCGAAGCCGCTTCCACGCCGCTTGAGGCTGTTTGTGTGGGCCGCCAACAGATACTACAAGAAACAAGTGGTTACAATCCCCAGGACATATACAACATGGACGAGACATCGTTCTTCTACTGCTTGGCTCCGCATCGCTCCATCACACGCAACCGAGTACCTGGTACAAAAAAGTCAAAAAAGCGCATCACAATGGCTCTTACGATAAACGCGACAGGCACTGATACCGTTGATCCGCTGTTCATCGGGTCTGCAATCCGCCCTCGTTGCTTTGGCGGCCGGAGTGGAGAGCAGCTTGGGTTTGACTACCAAGCCAGTAAGAAGGCATGGATGAACAGCGAAATCTTCAATTCGTACCTGGAATCGCTGAACGAGCGCATGGTGGAGGAGGACCGCAAGGTCCTCCTGCTTGTTGACAATGCACCATGCCACAAACTGGACGAAGACACTGCGCTGTCGAACGTGAATGTCAAAATGCTGCCAAAGAATACAACTGCGTACCTGCAGCCGCAAGATGCGGGAATCATTGCGTCATTCAAGGCGCACCTGAAGCAGCGGCAGCTCCAGAATGCCTTGGAGCAGATCGACATGGTGATGGCCGGGCGTCAAGACAGACTCTACGATGTTCCGTTAGATGTAGCCATGGGGTGGGCTCGAGATGCTTGGCGCTGTGTTTCCCAGTTGACCGCTGTGAAGTGCTGGGAACGTACCGGTATTGTTGACTCTAACCTGGCGGCTTTTAGCGAACGCGTGTCTGAACTAAACTTGTAATAAACAAATGGTCGTAAGTGTTCTTGTGATAATTTATACTCCGAAATACTTCTTTAAGTGAATACACTCTCAGAATTTTGCACAGTCTGGTGTTTCCAAAGAAGAGGGAAATCAGTGTGAAGTTCATTTGGGAACGTTAGTTGTACGGTTTCGTACCACAGAAACACACATGAAACTTAACGTAACTTTTTTAGTAACTGTTAGGTAGTTTTTTACAATTTGCTACTCCAAGAGTATACTAATCTTCAATGTAACGATCGAACTATCCTAAACTTATCGAAACGAGGACAGCATATTTTGGCCAAAAAGCCTTGACACTACTAAGTGTATATTCGAGTGAGCGTTGAGAACAATAAACAGCGTGCTAGAGTGTGCTAGGCAATTTGGCTTGGGTGATATTACAAGTCGAATATTGTGAGGGGAAGGGGGGATACATAAGGACTGAGGAGGTGCAGGAGTTGTAGTCGCTACTATTCTGGCGATCTACATACACTATGAGCTAATCATGATGTCGTGAATGGTGGTTTTAACCTCGTTAATGGTGCTTGTGTGCTTTCACATGTCGATAAGGCGCACAAGCAGATTCGTTGTGGAGGGGACATAATGCCGTGGGGGGTTATAAACGATGTAGGGGTTGCAATCGATACAGCTTTAGCGATTTACATGCACTATGAGCTAGACGCGCTTAGTGACTGAATGAAACCTCTACTTTCTGATGTAGATTCACCACGGCTCTAACCCAAATTGCTAGCGTTTACACGTTGAGCTCCACATACAGCTGTACGTTTTACTTCTTAACTTTCACACAAAGTCACATTGCACATACATAACGTATACTAGTACAAAGGAATATCAAAGGGCTACATCAAATTGCTAGCTCAACTGCTGGCATGATTCAGGACTCTCGAATGAGTATTGCCTTACTAGCAGAAATGGATTTGCCCGTCGTTGATGCGAGCAACAACGACGGGCAAATCCTCTACTATACTGTATCAGCTCCTCTCGTTATCATTCTATTAGTTGTGAATAAGGTATCTGCAAGGCAAGGCTAGTTACATTAGTACTTCGAAGTACTGTACATATACGAGGCCACATGCTCCTGTTCAACCCTATCATCTTCCAGAAATACTGCGTTTTGATTGAATTAACATTACTAGTACGTCAAGTACTTCAAGTATATTTTATGGCCAACCACACATTTCAATGTCGTCCTTCTTCAATTTGCCACCTCATACACACTGTTCAGTGGGTCCGTGGGTATGTAAGTAATCGATCCCCTTGCGCATTCAGCCATCCGTTAGTACCACAAAAAAGGTTCATTCTATTTCTAGGCACTACATAAATCACGACTATAGAAGATGTCTTACAGAAGCAGCACGAAGCACGATATACGTGGAACTTTGGCGGCTTGTGGCGTAGGCTGGGTCCGGCAAAGGTCCGGCAAAGTTGCTGCGGGAGTCTGGTAGCATGCAGTACAGTTCACACGACTGCTCCAGGCCACGAGGCCTGAAGCAATCGTTCGAGGTTTAGTCCCATGTATACGTATAGCTACTCGCAGTAATAATATACACTACATCCTGATTCGCTTCCGCTTCATGCCATCAATCGGTGGTTGGTCATAGGGCCGTCTATAAGTTTAAGGTATTTCGTGATTTCCTTCATATGTGAGTTTAATAACCAATCACATTGCTAATAGTCACACGTGTCCAGAAATTCTCATAACGCACTGTCTGCAGAAGTGGATCTCGCTGTGTAACATACTCTATATTCAATTCAGCAAATCTCATGTGCCCTTCAGCAGAAACTATGTGCGATTCAGCAATTCTTATGTGGCTCTCAGCAATTCCTATGTGGTCCTCAGCAATTCTTATGGGGTCCTCAGCAATTCTTATGTTGGCAATATTTAATCCTCGGCTGCCTGATTCGTCCCGGCTGGTTGGTGCCTCAGTCTCGGCCTCCTGTTCCTGGTGTAGGTTGTCGATCTCGGTATCGGCACTCTTCTGATTCAGGAGGCTAGCGGGGCTGCACCTTCCCTCCCGGGCCCGAGGGAGGACGTAGTCCTGGCGTTCCGTCGTGTCCCCACCTCTTCGCCTTCCCCTTGGATCACAGCTGTCTGTAACTTCCACACCCGGCGTTTTTCGGACATAGTAGCGGCCAGACGTTGTTTGGTGAATCCCAGATCATCGGAAACTCGTTCCTTTTCGGCGAGTGCTTGCTCCCGGTAGGTGCTCAAATTGACAGCTCTGAGTTTACAGGTACGGAGTTCTGTCCGGAGTCCCCGGACACGCTCTTCCAGTTGTCGCGCTCGGTGTTGGCCTGATCCCGTTCCTGTTCGACCTTCTCCCGGAGCGCCATTTCGGCCACCCGTTCCTCTCGGGCCTGTTTCAGTGCATCTCCAAGGCTCTCGACCTCCTCATTTACTCGCTGAAGGGCCGCCGGCATAGTGTGCGGTCCGTTCGGTAGGAGTCTGGCCAAGGACGACTCGGGGTGCCGCCTCGATCCGCACGGTCCGGTCCAGGAGGGCCTGATTGCTGACGGCCGACACGGACAACGCTTCAAACAGCCACCGGAAGGTGTATTCGAGGTTGGGGGTCGGACTAGGCCCTGAGGACGACGTTCCCGTAGATGCTCCCCGAGCTCCGGACCGGTCGACAAGGTCAGGGTTGGGGTCCGAATCAACATGGGTCGGTGAGCAGCGACTTTATTTGGGCGACGACTTGATCGGTGTGAGCTACAAAGGTTGGTGTCACCATGTGGCTCATCCGAGGGCGGGTGCGGCCGAGCCTGTACCGGATGAGCGTGCCGTGTGGGGAGGCGTATGCCCGACGGAAGCTTTCTCCATTGGGTTGGGCGGATTTTGATTTGTGTGTTACGGCTTGATACGATTCAACTGGTCCTCGCTGGAGGTCGGACTTAAGCGTGGGAGAATGTCGCGGGGAAAATTCGGACGTTCCGTGACTAGCCTTGGTGTCCTAATGGGAGGCTTGCTGAACTTGTTTAGTCCCTGGAGTCTGAACCCAGGACGACCATGGACAAGACTCTGAGCTATATTATGGTTAATTGAGTTTTATTACCTTATTAGTTGAGCAAAGGCCCTAATGAACTAACTAATTTTCCTCGTACTGTATAAATATGTGTTTTGGGTACAGTGCGCGAGGGAAGTTGTTCGAATATGGTTGTCACCGTCGGGTGGACTGAGTTCTAGGCGTGGACGGAATCAGGGATTACATGCAGCTTCAACCATGGGTCAGCACTCAGCGCTCGAAGAACGTTGAACACTTTGGAGTAGCCTTTCTTGAGAGGCAAGTCTCGAAGTAGGAGCCGCAGGTGCATCTTGATTAGGTTGGCTGCATGGATCGCTGTATCCACGGGAGTCTTGGGGGTAAGGTCGGGTCGGAACGTTCGATCGGCGCGTTGGAGCCAGATTTGATAGTACACGCAGGCTCGGACAATGGGCCAGATCTTCAACAGTCCACGGACGTAGTAACCATCTTGGGGCTTGGGCAGCTCAAAAAACAACTCGAACGCATTGCGCGGGAACGGACATTGCAGCGCTCGTTGGATGCGCTTGAAGTGGTGCCAGACGGACAGGCCGTAACGGCACGCGAACAAAAAGTGTTGGTACGTCTCGTTCGAACCGCAGAAAATACAAGTAGGCTGGGGGGAGCGATATTGGAACAGATATTGCATGGCGTTGGCGCGAAGCAGCGTCTTGTACACAAACTCGCCATACCTAGGCAAGATGTGTTCGGGGCGTGAGAAGACGGCAAGTTGCTTCAAGCGCTTGGGGTCGGCGTAAAAGTCGGCGGGGAGACCGAGGTGCTTGGT